CAATATTGTTCATCTGCAATTTAGAATGGAAATTTATTACAAGAGGCTAGCATCTGCCTATAGCATGGAAAGACGACGTCGCATTGAAGATACAATCCTTCTCCAAATAGTGCTTTTCTCCCTTTTTCTTCTTTTAAACTCAGCATACGGAATCTACAGCCCTCGTTATTTCTTTACTGGAAACACGCCCCTCTGCCAAGCCTTTCTAATCTGCATCGTCTTCTCCTTCTCAGGTGCATTTTGTGCCCTGTTGGTTGGGAAAAGGCCCCAGTTTGCAACAATTCAAAGATTTTATTCCATCTTGTCTATGGTTTCAATGTCATTGGCTTTGCTCTTGCTGCAATGTGACCTCCTTTTACGGTGTTTCATCTTTGCTTCTTCAAGTAAATTCTTGAAAAATGAAGAAGGAAGAAGGTTTCTTCTGTTAAGGAGAATCAAATTCAAATATGTGATAAGGAGGCCACATCAGCTCATGCAGTTACAGATCATGCAGTTATCACCACATCCTAATAATCTTGTTATTTGAATTCATGTTTACGTATATAGATAGGATTTATACAACCTCATGTAAACTCTATATATATTGATCAATACAATCGTAGCAGCGAGCACTGCACTTCATTATCTTCAAGTCTCAATTCTTATATGGTATCCATCAATGATGCCAAACAGATCAATGCTTCAGAGAGCAGGTGTGAGTTGGGATACCTAGAGTAGATAATTTGTGTGATCTAGTTTGATGGAAATGAGGGGAGCCAAATTTTGTGCAGTGAAGGGAGTGGTGACAGAAAGATTGTTTGCGGAAGACATGATTGAATCGAAGAAGGTGTTAACCTAATGAAGCTCTGATACCATAATAGAATTTGAGGTGGGCCCGACTCCTCACCCAATAAGGCCTTATTGGGTGAGGAGTCAGGCCCACCTCAAATTCTATCATGGTATCAGAGCCCAGGTTCAATTGAGCTGAGCGCTTGACCAGCGGGTGAGGAGTTAGAGCCAGCAACTATCTCCAATAACAGGCATGACCCAACATATGGGCTTGACCGTGAGGGGGAGTGTTAGAGTCCCACATCGACTAGGCACGCTCAAGTCTATTGGGTTATAAGAGGAGGTAATCCTCCCATTCAATAAGGCCTTATTGGGTGAGGACTCAGGCCCACCTCAAATTCTATTATGGTATCAGAGCTTTATTAGGTTAACACCTTCTTCGATTCAATCATGTCTTCCGCAAACAATCTTTTTGTCACCACTCCCTTCACTGCACAAAATTTGGCTCCCCTCATTTCCATCAAACTAGATCACACAAATTATCTACTCTGGGTTTCCCAACTCACAACTGCTCTCCGAAGCATTGATCTATTTAGCATCATTGATGGATCTGAACCCTGCCCTCCCAAATTTCTATTTGATTATGAGGGTAAGGAAACTTCAACTATTGATCCAGCCTTTGCCTTATGGCAAAGAAAGGACCAATATCTTCTTAGTTGGATAAATGCAACTCTATTCGAGACTGTCTTGTCTTCTGTATACGGTCTCACAACTTCCAAGCAAGTCTGGAATCAACTCGCCTCTCGGTTTGCTTCTCAATCCAAATCTCGAGTGGCTCATCTCAAAAGACAACTTCAATCATTGCGCCAAGGATCAAAATCCTACACTGATTTTCTTCAAACTGCCAAATCATTATTTGATCAGTTGGCTATTGTTGGAAAGCCAGTTGATGATGATGATCTCATATCATATTTGATCAGTGGTTTAAATCTTTCTTTTCATCCATTTGTTACTTCTTATTCTTTTGCCACTCGACAAACATCACTCTCTATTGATGAATTTCAGACTGAACTACTCAACTATGAGCTCATGGTGCAGAATCATAATTCCACCACAGAATCAGGAGGATTTGCTTTATATTCTCATCAAAAGACAAGAAATTTTTTTCTGAAGGGCAATCTAAGCCTCCTCACACATTCAATCCGAAGAAAGCAGAACCATTAAAACAGTTTCGCTTTGATGTCTCCTCTGCATCAAACTCCACTCGATCTCAGTGTCAAATTTGTGGCAAGACTGGTCACCTAGCCATTAACTGCTATCACAGAATGGATTTTACATACAAAGGGTGTCATCCTCCAGCCCAACTTGCTGCATGGTTGACTCCAATCAGAATATCAGTCCTGAATATCAATCTTGGCTAGCTGACAGTGGTGCTAACCAGCACATCACTGCTGATCTTAATAATTTGCACATCAGTAATCTTCATATTCTCTTCTCTATGGGAAATTCTAAATTTTGTATTTGTTAAAGAGCTATATCACCAATCACAAAAGCGATCACTGAACCCACCAGCATGTCCACCTCACCTCTTCTCTTTTACTTCACCTTCTTCTTCTTCACTCACGCATCCGCGTTGACCACATTGTTGGCGCCAAAAAAGGCCAGAACCCCGACATCAACTACACTTACTGGGCTAATAACCAGACCTTCTATGTCAACAACCTCATTATAATCCCCCTTTCTCTTCTTTTTGCTTTTATTTGCTTTGGATCTGTTGAAAGTTCTTGTTTTATTTCTGCCCATTTGGTTTCTTTTTTGTTACCATAGAAAAAGGAATCATAAATGGATTATGTGGTATGTGTTTTTCTTGAATAGGTCAATTTTTATCCTTTTAATAATTAATTTAAAAAAAAGGTTCAAAACCGGTTAACGACAAAGCAAACCGATAATTTGGTTCAATTTAAAACCTGTTCAAGCAGAGAACTGTTCAGTTTCGGTTTTGAATGCTACTTGAACCAATTTTTTGGTTCGGTTCATAAAATGGGAAAACTGGTTCGGTTAACCAATTTTCCCACCCTGCTTATAAAGCTGACGGCATTGAACGATAGAAATAATAAAACAAAATTGTTCTAATAAGCTAATGAAATCTCTCCCTATGGTGTAGAAACGAATTCTGTAAATTAAAAGAAGAAAATTAGTCGATAAACATAAAAATATAATATCTTTTTGTACTGTGAAGTATTTTAAATTTCAAATTCTCTCAAACTACTCACATTCTAAAGAAAAAACCATACTCTTCAAGAGAGGATTACTGAAGGGTAACTTGCCCTGTATTACAAATATATAAAGCTTGAAACATATATTATAACTATTAATAATTTTGAAAAAAAAAAACCATTTATAATTATTATATTTTATTTCTATTAAGATTTAACTTTAAACATATATTATAAATACATATGCACTATAATATATTGAGTTTTAAACAAAAGGTACAAAGTTAATATAATTTTGATAAAATAATCGTAGAAGTATAAAAGACATGTTAATTTTTTTTTTCTTTTGTCTAGAATCTAGTAACTAATGTTTTTAACTATTGGGAACATGTGTTCTGAGAACAGATGGTGACTTAAGAGTTTTAAAATTCTACTGTGTATCCGGATTCATAATGTGTATCCATACAACGACCCATAAGAAGTGGGTACTTTTAAAATTCTCATTCTCAACGCGTCCATTCCTCTGCAGCAAGTCGTGCGAAATCAGCTTGGAAAAAGGAAAATGGGACGTAAAGCCGGATTACATCCTGACAATCACACCAACCCATGGATTTAATGATGATTACACGCTTCAATTTGATATAAAACGAAGAAGACCCCTCCATTAAGGGGATTCGGCCATTCTTTACAAAAAACAACTCTCTCTTTCTTGTAAAGGAAAAAACACTTACTTTTCATAACTTTTTGTACGTCGGTCCGTTCCGCGACCTGACCCACACGAATATCAATACAAATCAGTGGACGTAGGATTTGCTACCTTAGCATCCGAACCACTTTAAAAGCCTTCTTTGCATTCATTTCATCTCATATATCCATTATCACGTGTATCAATTCATTAAATAGCAATACCCACGTGACAATTGGTTGGTGTCATAAACGAGCATCAACAATAAGTATTTTATTTATGAGTTTAAATTATATCAACTTAAATTTGTGATTTAAATTTTTGACTGTTTTACAAGGTTAAATACTTTAATTTAATAGAATTGTCAAAAAGGTAGGATTATATATATGTAATAACATTTTTTAAGTATATTATTATTAAAATTTACATATATATAAGTTTACTTTAATTAATTTGAGCTTGTTCACTGCATGTATGCCTGTCCAATTTCTATCTAATTCAATCCAAATTTGTCATAAAGGCCAGTTCAATATAATATGATGTGCAAAACACATAATTTTTATATATATTCTTCCGTCATACTCCATCTGAATCAATAAATCACGATGCACTATCATACGATCCAAAAGTCCAATTGAGAGATAACATTGACCACGGTATTAGAGGATGAATCATCACAACACCACGTCAACGAGGAAAAGGAAAAGGATGGCATGGTTAACTGAATTCTGTTTCTTGTTTTATTTGTTATTTGTCGCCTCTATAATGAGTTGTACATAAGGCCTGTAATGAGTTGTATATAAAGGATAGTATTGTCATTGTACATGATAAGTTTGTTAGGATATTTTTGGTTATTGTATATATCTGTATCATTGGCATCATTCAATACAGAAGAGGATATTTCTCTCTGCAATTCTGTCTTTCTTTTTCCTCTGTATCGTTTTCCTTTTTTTCATGATATCAGAGCCATAAAACAATGGCTGACACTTGTAAAGAAAATTATTCCAAATCTTCCAACGATACAAACTCTGAAGAAGATGATTCCTGATGGGAATGCAAAATATCATATTTACCCCCCTTAATGTTTAGTATTTTATAGGCATTTGTTGCCTAAATGTACTCATTATTATTCTATTTTGATTTAGGATGCAAATGGAGGCGTTAATTGCAAAACGGAACTAATTAAGTGAATTCGGACACGTAATCTAGGCATAACTCTCTCATCCGAGCTCTGATCGAGATGATTCAAAATGCTGTAGAACGCTAAGAAATATATCTACAACTTTCATGTTTTGAGTTTTGAGAGATACTCACTGCATCAAGGTTGTAATGTCTGCAAATTCGCTGTACGACTCCGATAGCTCGCTCTCGAGCAAGCCATATACAATTGGCTGCAGGTACTCGGGCAGACTCCCCAACGAGTCCAGAACAGGCGCGTCCTTCGCCTTGTCGCCAGTCACCACCCCACTCGCGGGATCCTTTCCCGACCTCCTGGATTCTTGGCGCGTCCTGAGGGGCTCCTCCTCGGATTCGGTCTCAGATTCTTCGACCTGGACCTGTTTCCTCTTCTTGGACCTTTGGGCCGGAGCCTTCCGCCTGGGGCGAGCAGGAGGTGCCAGAGCGACCTGTTCTGTTCTGGTCGCTTCTTGTGCAGGACGAGGCTGCGAAGGCACGGAAGTTCGCAGCGGTTGTGCGGGAATGGCACGAGCAACTTCGGCCTCCCTCTCCCTCTCCCTCTCCCTCCTTGATCGAGGGAAAACAAATGGCGCTCGGCGGGACTGCCCGGACTCCTTTGGGGGCATGGTCTCTGCATTTAAACTTGTCAGTAAGGGAATTTATATCACGATTAGAAAGCTACCAGCATAACTTACCGTCCAAGGGTTCTAACGATGCCTTGTCGGTGAAAAAACCGTACTTTCGCAGGTTCGCGGTAGTCACAAGCTTCCTCGCGTCCCGCTGTTCCTCGTCTAGTACCCCGAAAGATACGAGCCTGTTCGGGTCGGCGAGTAATTCTTGGCTGGTCGTTCTATTAACTGCATAAGAAAACAGGTCGTTAGCTAACGATCGTGCGAGCAGATAACAAATCCAGCAAAAGAAAACCTACTTGGATCCTGGAAGTGGCGGTGACCGTTATAAACGAAAAAGAAAAACTTTGTCTCGTAGGCCCCCGCATTGCTGGGATAGCTGTGTATCCCCGCAGCAATGGTAGGTCGCCGAGACAAATAGTAAGAATCCTTGTCCCTACTCTTCTTCAGGTAGTAGGCGACACCGAGCTCCACCGCCGACGGCTCCCCCAAGCCGTTCTCGCAGCACGCAATGTACATCGCGACGGCGATGACATACGCGTTTGGCGTCAGCTGCATTGGTGCGATCCCGAAATGATCCAGGACCGACCTGATGAAAGGATGGAAGGGAATCCTCCCTCCACCCTTGAAGATCTCCTCAGAGATCGCGGCAAGGCCGTCGGGTGGGCGCCGTGACGGCCTAGTGTGGTCGAGGAACACCTCCTTACGGATATCGAACTGCCGCTTTATTCTAGCATATTCCTCGGAGGTAAGGACCGAATAGACGTCGAGAGCTGCGTCCTCGGGAGCTCCCCGCGAGGACGAGCTGGCTCCTCCCTCGGTCCTGGATGTTGACGGTTCCATTCCAGTCTGCAACATCGACAGACACGGTCATTTGGGCCTTCGTGTTTGTCCCGTGCGGCAGCAAGGGACAAATACTTAAAACCTAGTGGTGATTCAAGCCGCCATCCACGGCTCGAATCCAATAACGGCGTCGCGACTCCGGTGAAACACCGGAAGACCCAACGCCGTGGTTCAACCAAACCAATATAAAAAAAAAGAGAGAAAGAAGAGAGATAACCTTACTCTGTGGTATATGGAGCTAGGGCCGAGACTCGTTCCGGTTGCCTGAAAAGCGTCGATCGGGAGAAAATGATTCTTGGTTTGCCAAAGTTTGTCACTCGAAGCGAAAGAAATTTCGGTGACCTCATCTGAAAAATACAAAGTTTTTATATGGATAGCGAAACGACGGTTACCACCCCTCGGAGTCGAAACGGCAGTTCCCTCTCCCTCCGCATTAAATGCGCCCCCACGTCGCGTTAAATGCCGTGAAAAGGGGCGCCATTTTAAACCCACGTCGCATTAAATGCAATGATATGGGCTGTCGGTTTCAAACGCGTTAAACGGTCAATACTGTCAAAACGGCGTCGGGTCATCATACCGCGCATTTAATGTGTCTGACAAGCGCTGTAACGCATGCAGAGCGCCTGACAGCGCAGGGACAGATTCATTGAACCACTAAGGTGCAGAAAGGAGCGTCAGTCAAGTCCAGGTCGCTGAGATAAAGATTGTCAGGTCGCTTAGGCAAGGGATCACGCGAGATCGTGTTCGCTGCGAGTCTTGAGGCGAGCTCACCCCATCCAGGTCGGAGCGACCAAAGTCTCCAGTGTGACTTAGTTTCCAAGGCTCGTTCCTCGAACCTTAAAAACTAGGGGGCTTCTGTTATACCCGGGAAAACAAAGGGCTGACGTGGGAAGAGTCACGTTACGGGTGACCTGCTCCCGTCAGGGCAACATGCACACGTCAGACCTGCAAAGTAATGTGGAGCTCACACGCGTCCATTCCTCTGCAGCAAGTCGTGCGAAATCAGCTTGGAAAAAGGAAAATGGGACGTAAAGCCGGATTACATCCTGACAATCACACCAACCCATGGATTTAATGATGATTACACGCCTCAATTTGTTATAAAATGAAGAAGACCCCTCCATTAAGGGGATTCGGCCATTTTTTACAGAAAATAACTCTCTCTCTCTTGCAAAAGAAAACACTTTTCTTAAACTTCTTGTACGTCAGTCCGCTTCGCGACCTGACCCACACTAATATCAATACAACTCAGTGGACGTAGGATCTGCTACCTTAGCATCCGAACCACTTTAAAAGTCCTCTTTGCATATATTTCAGGGGAGATATCCATTGTCACGTGCATTAATTCGTCAAAGAGCAAAAACCACGTGACAATTGGTTGGTGCCGAAAACGAGCATCAACATAATCTTTGATTCCCAAACCCTAACTTCTTATTCAATAACCATAATTACATAATAACCCTCATTATTTTCTGAAGTATAATTTAACCACGGTTCCTAAACTAGTTCCAACCTAGGTACTCGGATATCAATTCCAATTCCAGTTACCAAGTCGATTTTGGTTATTTGAACTGGTGGAATTAGAACTGGAACTGCACAGTATTGGTTTCATCCATAGAGAACCAAAACCAGCCCCATAAAGGTCGGTTTTGGGTATACTTTTACCCATGCTCACCCTTGTTCATTGGTCCTATGTTCTAGCTCATTCAATTTGAAGATTCATATTCATATTAACAACCGTTTCTTTCAATTGAGTTTAATTTATTACAGCTAAATTCAACCTATTTAGGGTGGGTTTGATTAGATGTAATCCCCTATTACTTCAATAATGTCATTTCATATTACTGTCATTATCTATATTTGTTTGTCAAGTAATAAAATATTTCAATAATCCTCAAATGCCAATAGTCATCATTACCATGTTTGGTTGTCAAGTAACAAAAAATTCTAGTAATCCTCCAATACCAATAATAATCACTAATAAATTATATAGGGGTAATCTGAATATCACCTCTTTTTTAGTTTTCTAAAATTACTTGTTAATATTAATTATGTTATAATTTTACCATAATTAATAATATACCAGTATTATATTATATTAATAATATTAAAAAAGCAGGGTAATTAAGTAAAAAGTTTTTCTTATAATTCATTTATTCCTCTCAACCAAACATATTAATTATTTATATCCACAAATTTATTTCGATCTAACCGAATTTATTTAATATAACATTCCTAATGATCTTCAAAATAATCTATCTTTCCATTAATATAACATTTCTAATAATACAATATTTATTAAACATATATATATATATTGCACGATGATTCCTTAGCCTCTATTCTCACGAGCTACATGAGCTGCCTGCAATAGCATGTTGAAGAGTGGCTGAACTGACCAAATCATGCCAATGATTTTAATAGTGAATGGTATGATATCTTTATATAACTCTATAAGACTGGCATTTTCATAAATGATGTGATATGTTTTATATATGATATAATTTTTTAGAAAATAAAAAGGTTCTATGTGTATTTATGGGTGAATCTAATAAAGTTTCTGTTATATAATCTTTAAATTAATAAAGAAATAAAGCAGTTTTATTCATTAATCAGACATATAAATGATTTGATAGGTTGAACGGTAACGTATCATTCTTTCAAAAACTATTCTCAAATTCCCAATTAGTGGGCTTAATCATCCCCGGCCAAGATCAAGCCCAAGCCCAGACTACAAAACCCCAAATAAACCTTTCTTCTTCAATTCACACAAACACAAACACAGTGCAACAACAATGGCGGGTAGACTAGGAAGAAGAGTAGTTCACTTCGCAAATCTTCCCATCAAACTCTTGATGCCCACCACCCCAAACTTAACAAGCATCTCAGAAATCGCGCTCAAAACCATCCCATCAGCTTCGAAGATCGAAATCAAACGGGTCCTCGAGTCCCTCTACGGCTTCGAAGTCGAGAAGGTCCGTACGCTCAACATGGAGGGAAAGAAGATGAAGCGGGGCGGCGTGTTGATCGCGAAACCCGACTACAAGAAGGCTTATGTCACTCTAAAGAATCCCCTTTCATTGTCGCGAGATTTGTTTCCTGTTGGGATGATTTTGGATGAAAAGGAGCGGATGAAAAAAGAGAAGAAGTCGAGTTTTGTTGAGGAAGGGAAGAGACAGCATTGGCTTGAGGGAGAGACGAGAAGTGAAGAGAACAAGAAGAAGAAGGGGAAGGGGTTGGTTGATGACGGGGCAGCTGTGAAGTTTCCATGGAGTAGCATGAGGTCGAGGTAGAAAATGCTTGTTTTATCGATTAATCAGAGTTTATGGATGATTAATTATGGTTTAATTAAGGTTTTGTTGTTCTTGTGATAATGGGTTGTTGTGAACTTCATTGAATAATAATGAAAGTTTCAGAATTTTTTATGCTTTTCTGAGTTTATGTTATGGCCTATGGTGATGGTGCTGAGCTAGTTTTAGTGGAAATGATAAACCTTTACCAGTTATGTTATGTATGTTTGATGAAAGTTTTGAGTTTTATGTTTAGTTGAGTTTAATTTATAGCAATGTGTGATGGTGTTCGGTAATATAAATGAGCTAGTTCAGTGTGAAATGACAATGTTTACCCATTATGTTATGTAAAGTGACATTGTATAAGATAGTTATATGGCAAAGATTGAACTTTATTTATCTTAATAAACATGAGATATATTGCAAAAAAAGGACAAACTTTGAGTTCGGCTATATATTTCTACAAGAGATGCTATAGAAACAGATTTTTTTATACAGAAAATGTAGAGATATCAGTGAGATTTAGGCTATTGACCGCCTTCGTCTGAAGCTGGTTCGGACGCTAGTTGAGTTGGGTCTCTGTTGTCGATCACCAGTTTCATCTGGATCGACTTTTGAATGGAACGATCCCTTGATCTTCCTCCAACCTGAACTCCATCCTGTTATGATCTTCTGCTTGTTGCTTAGCTTCTCGTACTCTTGCTGCAGCTCGGAGTAGTCAGCTTGTAGCTCTGTCATTCTTGTCTTTACATTCTCCAGTTCAACTTTCAGGTTCTTGATCTCTACACTTGTAGATGACTGGTTTTCATCCTGTTCTGAATTTTCACCTCGTGTCATTGCTGTCCTCATTTTTACTTGCTCTGAAAATAACACCTGCATGACATATGGTGAATGCTAAGCACATGGCCTGTTTCTCTGTACTTAAATCATGTCCAGCAAAGTGATAATTCAAAAATTCTAGCAAAATTTCTGTTATCTCTATAGTTCATGGGGGATGAGAAATTTCTGGTATGAAGTCCTTAGGAAACTTACCTGGACAACTGTTCTTAGAGGCAATCGATCATTCTGTGCAGCATGCGTGCATGCATCAAGTGACAGTTTCTCGCAGTTCATTATTTTGCACAGCCTTTTTCGTTCATGTTCAGGTACAGAAGGATGAGACTGAAAAAGCATATTAGATTATTAGGTTTAAAAAATTGAATAACCTATAAATTCGGAGAGATACAATGGACAAATGATAGGTAACCTTTAGGTAGGTATCTATGGCTCTGTAGAGACCATCATGACATGTTCGAGCATTGTCTGGTAAGGATTCAGCCAGCACTTGAAACTTGGTGATGGAGAGGTTTGGGTCCCTAGCAATTTCAGCAAGATAACTGTCTAAGATCTTACTTACGTTAGTTTTTCCAAATTTTTGTTGCATCTGCTGCTGCTGGTGTTCATGCATCAAGAAGTATTCCACAATCCTTTGCACCACATCAGTGTTGTGCATTGTGTGTCGTTCAAGTGAACTGCATCATGATTGCAGATAAACAATATTGCAAATTAGTTAATTGTTAATGATGAAATCTCTTCATAAGAGTTCCTCTTTGGATATTTTAACACGTGTCAAACAATTTAGAATAAAGAGATTAGATTACTCACTTGTATGGTTTTCCTTGATCTTCATTTTTATAATTAGGAATCAAAAGATCGTTGACATTGGCTTCTTCTAACATCATTCCCACTCTCTTCTCAAGCTCTGCAATTAAAGCTGGTGACGCAGAATAAACTATTGCCATCTTCAGCATCTGCAAGAAGAACTTGCAAGAAACAGCTTCTTGCTGAGGAGGAAGTATACTTACTAAGCTTTCGATAATCATTCTTTGCTCCTTGTGTCCAACCCCCCTTTCCTCCTTTCCTGCATTCAAAATACTGAACTGCAGCTCATTCTTTCCATACCCGTATCCTCTTAGTCCTTCTAACTCTACTTCCATGCCTGGCAACGATTTCTTGGCATAATGCATGATGCATTTTACTATTACCTCTGCTTTTTCTCCTTTCACCTTTATTGCTGTTATAATCCTTGTGAAGTGATCAATCTGAAGGGTAGCCACATCATCAAACCACCATCCTTCTTCATTAACAATATCTCCGTTTGTTGAATTTTCTCTTGAAGCCTTCCAAGCAATTGAATCACAGCATCTTCTGACAATTTGAAGGTTTTCAGCCCACGGAGATAAAGTTTCACAAGATTTGAGAACAGTAATGGTTGCTTTCCATGAAGAAAGGATTACCAATGTTAGGAAAGATTCTGTTTTGGAGATTAGATTTCCATCTTCATATTCTTCGCTCATATCTAGAAATTCTG